TTGTTTAGGCAATATGCAAACTTTTCGCTGATCCTGCCTTCTTCAAGTCTCCTGTTCATTAGATTTCTCTGGGTCAGTATATCGATGGCCTCTCGGATCTTGAGTTTGCTCGTATTTTCACCATATGCAGCGAACCTTTCGGTCGATTTCCAGTCGATCTCATGCCCCGTTCGTGCAATGTGGAATCTTTTCTTATCCATCTTTCTGCAGAGTTTGTGATATTCCTTGATTCGTAGGCCGATTTTTCTTCCTGTTTCACCGATATAATTCTGCTCATAGTTGCCGCATTTGATGCGATAAACTCCCGAGCAATCAAGTTTGTCAGTCTTCTCGTGTTTCGTGAGCAGAGTGGTGAAAAGTGTTTTCTTTTCCTTTGTTATCACCCTTACATTCCATTATGGACATTCCCGTCGCTTATTTCTGCAGCCTGGAGCCCCGGATCAACAAATTAGCTCTTACCCTCCTGGATGTCAAATGCGTACACTTTCACGCGCCACGTTATAAATGAGCTGCGATATCGACTCCACTCCATCCATTTTCTGCATCTCCTAAGGTACAAGTTCGGTCGGTCATCCGTTTATGTAAGACTGAGCTCAGCTAGCGTCTATATTAGACACAAGGCCTTAGAACGACAGTTTCCTTATCTCCGCATCCACAGGACAACTGTTGCTCCGCAGAAGCGACACAACCTTGATGCAGGGCTGACTTCAAATCGACGCTGCCTATCAGCTTTGTGCCTCCACAGTGGCCTTTCTTTTGGCGTCTCCATGTTGGCTGTGACCCGCGGAATTCAGACTTTCATATTTTCGTGAATTAATGTCAGCCAACTACACTCCCCTCAGCATTATTTGAGGTTAGTGTTGGATACCCAGATTTCATCTCCTCACTATCGAACATTAATTGAAAGCCGAACTTTACATCCCTCAAGATATTTAGTGTAAGCACCCCTGACAAGAAACAGCTTATTCTCGTTATAACAATATTCGGGACGTCTGCTCGCACCGCCTTAACAGGTTGCCCAAGGAAATCCCAGAATCAATAAATATTCTTTACAGCTTGTCCGACCAGCTCCTCTTAATAATAATTACTGCGCGTTGTTCCTCTGTGCAACATGCTGTGTCACGACGAAGTCGGTTGGACTTTTAAAGACCACGGTCACTTAACATATAAATAAGAGGAAAGAGCAACTCACCAATTCGATTGCTCCTTTCCCATCCTTCACTTTCACATGTAAAGCTTTTCCTCTACCAAAGAGCTTCACTAGAGATGAACCTTTTTACCCTAGCAATGTATAAATTAAATAATTTCCTAACTTAAACAGCTTTCTCATTACATTCTTCTATCCCCTGTTTCTCTATTCAATCTAAGATCATAAATAGCTCGTATAGGACATGAGACAGGACGGTTTCTTATTATAGACGTATCAGAAGAATGAGTTTAATTAGATCTGAGAAAGAACCTAGTGATGACTGTCTATAAAAAGGCTTCATATAAAATTAATTTTCAGAATGCATACTATGAAAAGATAGAGCTGAGTTTGATGATGATATTTGAGAAGGATAAACATGACAAAGCCACAATTTTGTGCTTAAAAATAGATCACAAATATATTTAAATAAACTAGTAATGTAACATAAGGCAAAGATTATATCAACGTTAATTGTTAAATTATTTTGTCGGAAAATGATTTTCAAAAGGACAATTGTATTGAGATAGTTTAACCATAGACATAGCAGACTTCGGTCCGACTTACTGCGACCCTAATGAATTCGTGCTGGTGAGGATACCATTCGTCATGCGAATGGCAACATACAAAAGGTAGATCATCTTCTAATTCACAAAATACACTAAGCCAAAAATGTAACTAATGCTATATAACTAATCACATTTTATCTGAAGATCTGATTGGCTACTGCACTGTTACAGGTCGTCAAGCCTGTAACCTATCATTGTTTTATATAATACTCAAAATGATTGTCATTTAGGTGATCAAATTCAAGGCATATAGAAGTTCAGTATCCCCAAAAAAACTCCATATTAATCAAGTTGTCTCCTTTTGCTCTCTAGTTTTCCCTCCTATCCCTAATTCTGTCGACTTGAGGTGCATCATATTCAGCTTCCTAAACTCAATACTCTGATTCGAGATATTGGCCCAGATCTTACTCCTAATTATCTTCTAAACTTGGGTCTGATATGGATTCGAAATATTTTGAATGACAGTAAGACCGAGGTTACCCCAGGTGGTATTCTCTGCTGACTAGCTGTTCCGTTTGTTCCAATCTCCGGACTAATGCATTCGCGTATTTTATTTTTCGTCTATAAGTTGGTGCTCTCACCCATGGTAGAAATATGTGATATGAGAAAAGACCTGGCCTTGCGTGAAATTCACAATTGTTCTGTGACGCAAGGGCACTCGTGGTAATGCGGCGTAGTAAATAACGTGTCGAGATTACGCACTGTACTGTCATGGCTCGAGTACATCTGGGGGTGTTGACAAGACCTAAGCTAGGTCGAAACTGCAGTTCACCCCCGATGGGAAAGCAAGGCTATGTGAAATTCAATAAAACAGTAAGCTCTACTCATATCATAATGAGAAACTCCTACTACCAGTCCTTCATCACCATAAACGTAATAGGGTGAATACATCTCGAGGATGCTAACCTGAATTCAAACGCAACCACTATGATCAACATAAATATTCCAATCTATGCTTAATCAAATAATTTAGGGATGAATACAGCGTCTAGACGCGAGTAGATCAGGTGTTGGCAATAAAACAAAACTATTCAGATCTGAAGCAAATGATTTATTGATAAAAAATACATCAAAATTTTCAGTATCCAATGGGCCCGGCGAGAATTATCTGGATGTTGTCATGTGAGCAAGTATGAATGACGGGACAGTACCGATGAAAGGGAATTCAGGCAAGGAAAATATATGTCAAAATGTCAATAATATCTATAATAAGGATTTATTTTAAAAATATGAAGTTTAATTGCATACAAAGGAAGTGCTGTATATAAGGTATATTGAAACAAACCCAAAGTTTCGAGTACACTACATTGTAAACAGGGAGAAAAAAAGAAGACAAAAACGAAAGCAAAAAAGTCATATGTTCCAATCAGAAAACAAATAAATAAACAATGGAATGTTCAGGTTAAATAAATTGCAATATAAGGTAGTTATAATAATACAAACGTTTTAGTAGGCTTTTGGAGAAAATATGAATTATAAAATAGTAGACTGATAACATCAATAGAATGAAACAAAGAAAATATCTTCAATAAGACCAAAGCAGGATTGAGTAATTATAAATAATAGATGGTTCTTGGGATAAAGATGTATGAAAAGATAACTACGAGGTTCCTGATGAGTCTGATTTGTAGCAGCACAAGAAAAACTAGGCGAATTGCATAATGGCTGTTTTACCCTATACTTGGGATTTTTTTATCCAAAAGGGCCTAGTTAGAAAGGAGCGGTGGGCTCAACTAATTAAGGTATGTATAAATGTCAGCAGACGGCAGAGCAAGGTAAAAATGCATTGAATAAGTGCCGCATTTGAATGACTGTCAATCAAACAGAATCAGCTTATTTCAACGCATGACTGAAAGAATAGTTTAAAATCGAGGAGCTTTAACGGAGACGGAAGATTTTGGAATATTAGAAGATTTATTGAGTGCTATATATGAGTCAGTAAATGAAGGCTGGCATTTGGCTAGTAGAAAGCGAAATCTAACTGAGAGTTCGTTGTCCTCAAAAGTGGAACGTCTGGAACTCGGAACTTTTACCCGTTCAGTGGAAGAGGGACGTCGTTTCAAGGTATGTGTAAGAGAGGCCATCCGACCTCCTGGATTCCGTTGTTGACACAATCCGTTAGTATGCCTCTCTATCTGGTCGGGACATTCGTTGTTTTCCACGTCGGGTATTTCAACTGAAGAGGAGAATAGGTGCAGCTTTTGCAGTCGCGTTTGCGTGGAGGTCAAACTAGTAACGCGCCGAAATAGACTCCGCTTCGCTTGACAATGTGTATCCCCGTAATGATTCGGGATAGAATCGTTGTGAGAGGACATAAAAGGAACAAAAGAACTCTTTGTTAATGACTCGGAATGGTCGATGGAAGATGACCTTTCAAAATATATCCTACAATTTTCGTTTGGAGGTATTTTTTTGGCATCCGAAGTGAGGTCTTCATAGGTCAATGTATTATTTTCCAAACTGATTTGTGTATCGGAAATCGAGTCATCAAACATAGCGCATGCCGTCTTGTCAATGTAAAAATCATTCATTCGAATGAAATATGCTTCTGTGGATAATATGTGCTCAATGTATTCCTAAAAATTAAGAAAATAAACTGTGAAAAGATATTAGTATTAAACTGTGCAAATACAAATTATGGAATAATTTTGGATCAAATTCGAAACAGCTCGTCGTGATATAGTGAAAGCTGCAAGATTGTTGCAACGAAGTAAACTAATTTAAAAAGCCTTTATCAGGGTTATCAGTAGCATGTTGAAAAACAGATTTTCTAAGAACCCCTTTATAGATTCATGACGGAGTGTCTTTCATATGAAGTTGAAGAAATTCGTAAGTTGGCCTCACCGAAAGCCGAAGGATTGCCCTAGAGTTTTTTGGTTTACCGTCCCGCAACCCCAATGTACCCTCGCTAAGCCTTCGTCCGTCATGTGAGGAACCTCACCAAATCAAAACACAATGATTTACGATAATATACCAAGCAAGAAGATAATAAACATGAGCGACGGCAATACCACCTTCTTGTTATACTCCAACTTCGTCCAGTTAATGAGAATTTTCATGATTTGGCTAGTTATCCAATGGTTTTCCTCATTTATACGTGTATTCGCCCTATTTCGTTTAGGGTAATAAGGGGACTGGTAGTTGAATATTTTTGAAGTGAAGTGCCTGCGGATGAAGCGTGAAGTTGATGAAATTGTGAGTAAAAAGCTTCATCCTCCCCTAAAGTTAATGCATGTGATTGTATTCCAATGCATATGTGTTGTGAGTGTGCAATGCGGAAGGAGTCGATTTTGTCCCTACCAAAAGCAAAGATACAATATTTGTTTCCGAAAAGAGCTAATCTCCATTGTGAAATTAAGTATTGAAGGGATTACTAGTGATTCACCTTAAGCAAATTAATTAATATCTAAAACTTAAACTAATAGTATCTATTCCGAAGGCCTAATCCAAAATATCAATGATAGATAATATAAAAAGTTTTAGACAAATGCGTCCAAAGACGTATATGGCAAAGAGAACGTTCCTTTC